TTCGGGACAAGTGGCAATAGTCACCCATGGTGTATTCCCCCTTCCCCAGGGTTGGGGTTCAAACCAAGTCCTTTGTAAAATCTGTTCAAAAAAAAAATTTTAATTTTAAGTATTAAAAGTAAATTTTTCTCTCTCAAATTTATATTTATTTAAAAAAATAAAAAGTTGAATTTGAGTTTTCATGATTATTAGTTATTTTCAACTTAACTTTAATTTAGTTAAAAGTCTTTATTGGACAAACTCTAACCTATTCATGATTTATAAAATTAAGAGATTATATTTATCTAGGTTATTTATTTATTTAACCATGGAAAGTCTTTTAACCAAGGCAATCAATCTCATCCCATATCAATCGATATAACTAATACGTATCGATTTTTTGTATTAATCGAAACGATATAATATAAAAATTTGTTTAGGTCAAAATCTAATTAATTCAGTCAAAATTTGATGTATCGGTTAAAATTTTGATGTACTGATTGGTACACCAAAATTTCGACCGATACACACTATATCAAATTAAAAAAAAAAAAAAAGATCTCTTAACCTAAAACGACGTCGTTTTGGATTAACGGTTTCTTAATCTTAATTACCCCACAATTGCATATTCAAATTACACAGTATTGTTGGTACACAAATTATTTCGTACAATTCAATTCAAATTAAAAAAAATAAATTTTATTTTTGATCCTCAATTTTAATGATTTACATAATTTTTATTTTTGAACTTTTTTATATACTTTTTTAGTTTATTTTTCATTTTTTTAGTCATTTTATTAATTATTCTGTTAAATTTATTTAAATATACATATTTTTAATCACTTAATTTAAAGTAAATAGATAAAAAATATGCATATATTAAAAGTTAAGAGATTAAAAATAATCATTTTTAATTTGTTTTTAATTTATAAAAATATGATAATTTTAAATATTAGTATTTTTTATCTTATTTTAAAATTTGATATTTAATTTATAAAATATATATTTATAACAATAAATTTAAAATAAAATATAAAAAATTTTAATATTTAATACATATAATTCAAATAATAAAATCAATACACATATCAATATCAATACGATATTGGTTCCCTTACTTTTAACCCTTCAAGTTAAGTTTGACCAACTTTAACAAAAACTTTAGCGATTTTCCCTGTGAAGTCTTTTCCTTGCAGAGTTCTGAGACCCTAACTACACACAGAAACCTGTTTTTCCTTTTTATTTAAAAGGTGCATGCATGTTTCCTGTGGATGAAAAGTGGGACGGTGGATAGCAAAGGGACCAAAAGTGGTTTAGGAATACTATTTTCATGTACTGATAAAGTTTAAGAATCATTTTAATAATAATACTTTTTGAAAAAAAATACGGAAAGATAAAGTGTAAGTGCCTGTTTAATGTAATTGAATCGCAGATCTTTTATTGTGATTTATTTAC